TCGCAAACGACTGGATGGCACATAACAACAACAACAACAACAAATTGGTAGTTTCAAAGGACAGAAATTCATGTGCCCTGAAGGAACAAGTTCCTGATTCTCTGGCCTCAGCAGCATAGTTTCGGGAAACACCAAGGATAGCTGTCATAGCAGAGTCCACAAAACTTGCTTCTCTGACTAGGCATTTTAAATTTTTAAAAACTTCTGGTTTTTTATTTTGATTATTTTTCTTCTACCTACACATATCTGTTTAACATCTCAAGTAAAATTTTTATTTCTATGACTGTAATTTTCAGTTTCACAACTTCTGCTTTGTATACTCTATCGTTTGTGCCTTTTTAATGATATTCTCACTTTAATCATATACCATTATCCTGATTACTTTTAGCTCTCTGAGCATATTTAATAGAGTCATTCTAAAATATATGTCTAATATGTTCAATATCTGGGCTCACTGAGATTCTAAATACACAATTTTCTCTGTCTGAACAGCTACTCCCCATTTCACTGATTTCAGCCTCAAAGAAGTAGTTTATCTGTTAAAATATTTTCCTCCACAGTCAGTCTATTTTATAACCTGTTTACTGACTAGAGATGACAGAAGGAGAATAGATGGTTTTGAGGTGTGGTGTTAGAGAAGACTGCTGAATATACCATGGACTGCTAAGAGAACAAAAAGGTTCGTCCCAGAGAGGGTAAAACCAGGCTGCTCCTTGGAGGCAAGGATTCTGAAGCTTTGTCTGATATACTCTGGACATGTTGCAAGGAGGGATAAATCCTTGGAGAGGGACAACATGCTTGGGAGGGTGGAGAGACAGCTTCCTCTAAGAGATGGATTGATTCAGTGACTGGGATAATAGGGGTGGGTGTGTCAGAGACAGTGAGATTGGCACAGGACAGAGCAGGGTTTAGGGCTGTTGTTGTACATAGGGTTGTTGTGAGTCGCAGGAAATTCGACGGCACATAACAACAACAACAACAACAACAACAACATATATTTGAATAAAAGATGTATTAACAAGTCTAATGAGTCTTCCTGGATGGATATTATCTGTATGGATAGTATCTGATCACCCACAGCATTGTACGTCACAACAAGTCATGAAATACTCTTTTTGACAATGAATGCAACATGATCCTCTTCAATCTGTCATTCTCAGCATAAAAGACTATATGGCTGTCTGATTCAAAATGGCCACTCCTCAGTCGATCTCAATTTAATACCGACAATGTAGATCTTTGCACATTCCACTTCACATTTTTCCAGGTTTATACTTTGTTACTTTCACGTTCCAATTATTAACTGATGTTTGCAATTGTTTCTCCTAATTTTCAGCACCTGAGGGCTCATCTACTACCACTACATCCAACAATGTTCCTCTGTTGTTTATTTTATTATTATTATTAATGTCAATGAACATCTACAGAGATCTTGGAATTCCATTCATTCATTGTTGCACTTTTCTCCCCACTCCCCCACCTCTGTTATTTACTGTTTTAAAAGTCCTATTACTTCTGAAGTGTATGGACAGTCCTGCTTCTTAGTCTGTCTCAGTTTGAAAGATCCACTGAAACATGTCCACCATGTGTGACTCTGCTGGTATTTGAAATACTGGTGGCATAGCAACACATACGTCACCACAATACAGCAAACTGACAGACAAGTGCCTTACTTATAGAGCAAAGTATAAAACAAACTAGCATAAAAATATCACAAAAAAACATGCACGCTGTGAGAAAGAGAATACATGCTGCCAGGCCTGGGACAACGAATCTTCCAGTTCTGCAGAACACTGGGGTTACGGTACCCAATCAGGTCAAAGTTTCTGTTCATATGAACTGTGACTGAGGTGCCAAGATATGAACCAGGTCACAGGTAACTCCTCCTCTGGTCAAGGGTGTGTTATCCAGTCTAGAGCCGTGGTTCTGTTGGCATCGGAGAAGCCTAGCTTAGTCAGCCTGGCTATCAATAATGTCTTTACCAGTTTAGGGGACGGTGAGTAAGAGAGAGAGGAACAGAAGATTTCAAATGGTAGCTTGAGAAGATAAGTATTATAAAAAAAATGTTCAAAAACCTGGAATTTTCTAAGAAAATCAAAACAAAAGATTTTCCAAGAAAAATCAGCATCTCTGAAGGTAAAAAGAGTTGCTATACTGAAAGATTCTATGGGGAAACCTTGAATGATGCAGGAAGCATCAAAACAAGATGGAAAGAATACACAGAGTCACTATATCAAAAAGAATTGGTCAACATGGAACCACTTAAGGAAGGAGCATCTGATCAAGAACCCATGAAGGAAGAAGTCTAAGTTACAGTGAAGACACTGGCAAAAAAATAAAGAACTGATAGAACACTAACTGATATTTTTCAGCAAACACATGAAGCCCTGAATGTACTAACTAGCCTGTTGTTGTTATGTGCTGTTGAATTTCCTGCGACTCACAATGACCCTATGTACAACAGCCCTAAACCCTGCTCTATCCTGTGCCAATCTTATTGTCTCTGACACACCAATCCCCATAAACCCAGTCACGGAATCAATCCATCTCATCAAGGGTCTTCCTCTTCTGTGCTGTCCTGCTACCCTCCCAACCATGACGTTCCTCTCCAAGGACTGGTCCCTCCTTGCAACATGTCCAAAGCATGTCAGACGAAGCTGCAGAATCCTTGCCTCCAAGGAGCAACCTGGTTTTACCCTCTCTAGGTAGAACCTGTTTGTTCTCTTAGCAGTCCACGGTATATTCAATACTCTAACACCACACCTCAAAGGCACCGATTCTCCTTCTATCATCCCTCGTCATTGTCCAGCTATCTGATGCATAGCAAATAATTGCAAAGACCATGGCCTGTATCAGGCCCACCTTAAGTCTCCAGATTGACATCATTGCTCCAGGAAGTATTAAAAGATGGAAAGAGTATACAGAGTCATTGTACCAAAAAGAATTGGCAGACACAGAAGAATTTCATGAAACAATGTATGAGCAAGAGCCTGTGGTGATGAAGGAAGAAGTTTAAGCTGCTCTGAAAGAACTCGCAAAAAACAAGGCCCCAGGAATTGATGGTATACCAACTGATATATTTAAACAAACAGATGTTGCCCTGTATGTGCTCACCAAGTTGTGCCAAGAAATCTGGAGGACAACCACATGGCCTACTAACTGGAAGAGATCTATATTTGTTTCCATTTCAAAGAAAGGTGATCTGACAGAGTGTGGAATTTATAGAACAGTATCATTACTATCACATGCAAGCAATATTCTGCTGAAGATTATTCAAAAATTACTGGAACATCACATCAACAGAGAATTGCAAAAGTGCAGGCTGGGTTTTAGGAGAGATCATGGTATTAGGGTTATTGTAGCTAATGTTATAGCGGGATCTTGGCAGAAAGCAGGGAGTACCAGAGGAATGTCTATCTGTGTTTCATGGAAAGGCCCTTTACTGTATAGATCACAACAAACTGTGGCTGACTCTGAGAAGAATGGGAATCCCAGAACACTTGATTGTGCTTATGCAAAACTTATACTTGGACCAGGAGAGAGTCATCACAACAGAACAACGGAACACTGCATAGTTCAAAATTGAGAAGGATATATGCCAAGGATGTGTCCTAGGTTCATACCTTTTCAATCTATGTGTTGAACAGATTATCTGGGAGGCTGGGCTGTATGAGAAGTGTGGCATCAGGACTGCAGAAAGATTCATCAACAATCAGAGTTATGCAGATGACACAACCCTGCTTACTGAAACTGAGAAGGACCTGAAGCACTTGCTGCAGAAGGTCAAGGACGGCAGCCTTCATTATGGATTGTAGCTCTCAAAAAAACAAAGATTTTCACCACTTGGCCGACTGGCAGCATCGTGAATGCTGAAATAGATTGAGACTGTAAATAGCTTTCGTTTGCTTGGCTCCATAATCAGCACTTAATTAAGGAAATGAAGACATACTGCATTAGGAAAGTCTGCTGTCAGAGACCGATCTCACTAGCCTAAGCCAAGAAATTTGAAAGATAGCTAGTCAGCCAAGAGAATGGAAGAATCAATATTTGTGACTCAACAGAATGTGCAAATCATCAAACATTATTAATATTATATAAAAGTAATATTTTGCTGAAGATTATGAAAAAGCGTCTGAAACAGTACATCAGCAGAGCACTGCCAGAAATTAAAATTGGATTTAGAAGAGACTATGGTACAAGGGATATCACTGCAGATATCAGATGAGTATTGGCTGAAAGCAAAGAATATCAGAAAGATGCTGACTTACGTTTTATTTACTATGCAGAAGTGTGTGACTCATAAAAAATTATAGGTAATACTTTTTGGGAATCTCAGAACACTTGATTGTGCTGATGTGAAACCTATTCTCTTACATAGGTAGTGTCTAGAGAAGAAAAGCAGCAGAAAATGAAAGTTACCAGATGGTGGAGTTAACTTGCAGTAAGAACAGATTCCTCTGTCAACTTTAGCTACTCAACAATTTAAGGGCCACCTTACTAGGAACCACTTTCTCTCCTCAACATATCAACTTACAGTGCATCCCTGAACCTTTGTTAAACAAACTACTGAAGAAGGGAAAATACTGGAAGTTCTTAAATCTACTTATTGTTTACACTGTTTACTGGTTGTCAGCTGACTAGAATAATCAGTTAATGACTTACTTGAAGATCTTATTTGTTGTTGACTGGAAGTTCTTCCATCTACTTATTGTTGCCCCTGACAGCTTACAAGGATAAAAGTTTAGCTCACAGAAGGGAGGACTATCAGTGAAAATCAACTAGGGGAGGATGACCTGGAGCTACGTATCCATCATCCTGCTTCAGGATAAAATGTTCAGGAATAAAGATCTGGGGCAAAATCAAGGTGAGGAAAGGGCAATTGCATGGATTCAGGTGACTATTCTTAAAAAGACCTCTATCCCTGTCCTACACATCGGATGCTGATATTACACAAAACTGCCAGAGTGATCCCCTTACGTATGGGGAACTTAGTATGTTACCCGCATGGCTTCCTGAATGTGATCCTGTCGAATCAGTTCTGCTGAGCAGTCCATGTACCACTTCAAACAGCGAATGAGCTCCCTGGGGAAAAACACAGTCCCAAAAAACTTTTAATTCAAAAGTAATGGAGCCTAAATCGTCCGTATTTTTGCATTAGCCATATAAGAAAGAACAGCCTGCTGGTGAGGTAGAACAAAGTGATGGTTCTATTACAGCCATGCTACCTTCATGTCATCTGAGACCAGATCAAACTGCCTGTCAATAAAGAGCTGCCACATTCCGATTAGCAATGACAGCCATTCTCCCCAATGTCCTTTTGGCTTATAATAAAGTGTGTGCAAAGACTTAGATTTGTTGTACATTTTTTGTTTTGTTTTAAATTGCTATTTCTACATACTCTATAACAATGAGTAGTAAATACTAGGCTCTGAATAAAAATATGTAGTTCCTAATTCCCAGTCTTCCCATCTATCCTAGTTTCTCAGCACAAAATTATGTGACTGGATTGGAAATTGCATATTTACATGGAACTAGAACACAGTGGTCAGGAGGCTGGGAGCTGACCACATAGCAGATTTATATCTGTGATCTATTAGTTCCTTATTTTGTGTGTCCTTGGGCAAGTGATTTAATCTCTCTCTCTTTTTTCCCCTCTTAAAGTATGGAGAGATAATAGTCCTATTTCAAAGTTATAATGAATTTTAATAACACTGTAAAACACATAGCACAGTGCCCACTCTCCGAAATGACATAAAAGTATGAGTTCCACTGCCTCACCACTTTCAGATTTTGTTTTAAATGACAATTTATTATTGCTTGAAAGGTCTTAGATGACCTGTGAATGCGTCCCATATTTTCTTACTACGTTGTTGTTTGCCATTGAGTTGGGACCAACCCATAGCTGACCCTCAAGAGGGTTTTCAGAGGCAGTAAATTACTTGGGAGGAGACTGTCCATCCTTCTCCTACGGAGCAGCTGGTGCATCTGAACCTGTCTTTCGGATGGCAGCACAATTGTAGAAGTTTCTTACTACAGGTCTCTGGTTTTTTAAAGTTTGCTTTCTATCACTTCATTTTACAAAAGACCTACAATAGTATCGGTTTTCACTAATAGAAAAATAAATGCAGAGGGTGGCTTTTTTTCCCTTTTACCCAAAGAGGATTTAATTTTTACAAAAATGGTGCCAGTGAAACTTAAATTCACTGCTATCTTGCATCTTGAACGTCAAGAGCTGGCATTGCCACGCTCCATCCCCAGGGACAATACTCAGGAACTGCTCTCTGTGCATCAATCTACTACAAATTTAAACTAGGTTATATGTACTAGCTGGTAAGATTTTGCAGGTATGAGAATCCTTAATGTTTCTAAGATAAAAATTATTGTTACTTGTCTCTATGCTTTATGCTGTTTTGTTTTAGGGAAAGTTTCAAATGAACACTGTGCTTTTGGATAGTAGAGAAAATCTATATTTATATTGTATATTTCATGGACTAGCCTTTCATTTTGTCATATATATATTTTTGGCACTATATTTAGCTATTCATATGTATCCCTCTCAAAAAATAAAAAAAAATATTTTTAGCAGCTCTGCTACTACTATTTCTCAGCAAGAAAAAGTATGGCAACTACGTAGCAAAGTATGGCTGAGAAAATGTCCCCTAACTGGATGTCAACCTGCTGTTATCAAGTTGACTGGTAGTGATCCTAGAGATCAGAGCAGAACTGGGTTTCACAGGGTTCTGAAGCCATACGTCTCTATAGGACAGAACAGCTCATCTTCTTACTGTGCAGTGGCTTCTTGGATCAAGCTACTCATCTTGTGATTAGCAATCCAATGCTTAGCCTACTGCTCCACAAGCGCTCCTTAACTGATTGCAATCAACTTATTTTAAACCCGTATTTCTGTTTAAACACAGGGCCTAGAGATGATGCCAAATCCAACTTACTTGTATGCCAGTGCCCCAGCAAAGTGCTTCTGGATGTATGTGTCCATCACTGGCCGGAAGTGGAAATACTTGATGTCTCGGAGCAGGTTGATGATGAATACCTACAAGAGGTAGAAGGTAAGTCAGGAGGTTACTGGAAGCCTCTGACTTCGCTTTTGCAGGAACAAAGTTCTGCCTTCCTTACCTCTTGTTCACACAGGCAGTAAACACACAAATTTCCAGTATGTGTCTGTATTTTGGTCTCATCTGTTCTCCTTCTATGACTCAAACACTCTAATCCAGATCAGGAACGCCTAAGTCTGTGCCTGTGCTACTCTCAGACTCTGTTCATAATAATTCTGGGTGATAAACACAGAGTAGGGAAGGCATAAAAAGACCTCTGTATATGGCACAAACATACAAGTCTCAACAACAAGGAAAAGAGGGGTAAAAAGATTTTCCTGTGATCCAAATCAGCCTATCAAAGGTTGTACTCTTCAGAAAGGAGGCTGGCCAGTCAAGAGAATCAAGGAATAAGGCTTCTCCATTACAAATCTAGCCTCTTCCCTTCATCTACCATGTAGACTGGGAGTCTACATACCCTCATATATACGAACCTCCCGTAGAACTGAATATATCAAGAAAAATGCATTATATACTCAAATCACTGCCTGTTTTTATTAAGAGGAATCTGTTTCAAATAGATGCAGAAAGGGATAGAATGTGATGCTTTGATCAGCACAAGTGAATTTCTCCTTTTTCTTGTGATTAGAGTCTACTTTGCAAGTTGAGACGAGGAAATAAAATACTGATGGGGCTGAGTAGTCAGGACTTCACTTCACTGACTACAATGAAGTATTCAAGTCTCAGCCTGTAGGGGTCTTCCCGGGGGATTAGTAGGTTTGTCTTCCTTAGGTGATGTTCTTTTTCCCTTAGAAATATCTACACCTTTGTGCAGATCTACTCTAATGAACGGTTACCTTGAGATTTATTTTTAAAAATTTGTAATGGAATAATTAAGAAACAATGAAAAGTTGGGAAGGGTGGGTCTTACCAGAGACTGAAAAACCAGCAGTCCATATTTCTCTGTATTATCATCCAAAATCACAAAGAGTGTATCTAAGATGTCTTGTAGAAACTGAAACAACAGAAAAAAAAGAGAGCTCAAGTTTCAGGATCTTGCACACATGATGAAACCTGCACACATCAATGTATTCAGCTCCCAGTAGAATTATGGGAAAGTGAGAATTATGGGAAGATGCAGCCTCAGCAGATCTAAGATCCTGACCTTTCCCTCAGTAACACTTAGAAAAGCCACTGGGAACCTCTACCTTGTTCTGTAAGAACTCTGATATAACAAATCAAGAACTGGAGCAAGCAACTGCTAAGTTGATAAAAACAAAGAGAAATCATACAGTAGGAAATGTGCCCCTTCCTCTGTCTTTTCCCTCTCCCTTCTGGTGGAGCAGAGAACAGTATCAGAAGCTCCCAAACTGCTCCCATATCACTTGCCAAACACAAACTCTATGGTGGGTTGAGAAGGGCTTAGTATCTGCCTCTAAAACAAAGTGAAACAATTTCCCCAGGTGGACATTCAGGATTCCAAATATTTATGTAACTCCTTACTTTGTATTATGGTCTAGCACCAGATCATTTGGATAAAGGTATGGCAAACTACATGTCTTACTTACATGTATTATTTTTTGGTCTAGAAATTAGGTTTCCAGGAAAAGGTGGGAAGTAGGAGATGAAAGCTCTGAGGGAGGATAAAAGATTTTGACATATCTTTTTATTTTAAGTCTATGCATTTCTCTTTCTGAGATGTGAAAGCCAAGGGAGAGAACATAATACTGAGAATTTCTTGTAGTCTTTAAAACTAATACTCTGCTGGTCAAAATCCAACCAAAAGGGTAAAGTATCTGCTATTATTCCAAAATCATATGAGGTGGAAAAGATGGACAAAGTGTTGATGAGGCCAGACTGGCCACGAGGTGATGATCCCTGGGGTTCGATGACTGGCCATGAGTTTATGATCCCTGAGGTTGGGTGCCGGTTGTATGTAAAGTTGATTTTATTATTAAGTCTACTGGTGTGTACGCTTGAAACTTTCAAATAAAAAACTTTAAGAATATTTAACAATGCTAGCACGTTCTCTATTGGCTGGCATGAGACAAATTATTGATACTAAAACCAGATAACTAGTAGATGCAATTCTTCTCTTGTCAGGAATATGGTAATTCCATCTTGAAATAACCAGAAATTTTCTTGTTAGCTTACTGGCTGATATGCTGAAGATAATTTAGAAATAAAACACCACATATGAATTTATCTTAAGTTTCTGAAACTAGCATAAGTTTGGTAATAGGGTTTTTTAAAAAAATTATGGCTATTTGATCATTTAATGAAAATAATTTTTATTATTCATTTGTATTAATCATCAG